TTCTGAAGACAGGACGCATTGCCCCCCTCGAGACATCTGCTAGTGCGGAATGCATTGTCGACATCCGCCAACCATCTGGTACTCGCAATGGGGTGTCGAGCCCCATGGTAATCGGGAGCTCCACAAGCACTAAACTCCCTAAATGTCAGTGAATGTTCCCCTAGCATGGACGTCATCTCGGTGCGGAATACACCCAACCTCTCATCAAGTATCTCCAAGATGCCCTCCTTGACCGATCCAAAGATCACAGGAGTCTGTTCTAGAATGCTGTGTGTGATCTCAGACAGGATGAACTCCCTCGTCTTCTCATCCAGATGCCCGACTCCAGAGCCCGAGCCTGATCCCTAACCAGTTCCTGAGGTGCCAACTGGTCTAGTGCGTAGCGTCACCATACTGAAAATAAACCATAACAAACATCAGTATACTCATCATACTCGAGGGATCTCACAATCTACAAGTTTCATGGGTTCATCTCAACCTTCCTTGATTCGAGTACAGATCCTTTGCTTTCAATAGTATGGGCCCATACTACCTTCCACATTTATCCGTACTTTCCTCAAGAACTGCCTCGACTCCACCAAGTCCCTTCTACTACTACTGATGATCTCATTATAAACTTATCCTAGGCTTTCCCTAGGGTAATCACCAACCCACTCTCCGCAATCAGCTGTTGGATTAGTGTCTAAGTCCATAGCTATTTTGGTATGTACTTGACCCGATGGTGCATGGTCCTTTTGGGTTGCCTTCACCAAAGCAACTTGATAGGATGAATTATGGAGAGAGAGGATTAATTATGATTTATTTATATATTATGAGAATAATATATTAAAGGAGAAATCATATTGTTTAATTAATATTAGTCAATAATTAATTAAGAATTAATTATGTGGCCAAAAGAGATTAATTAAACTTAGGGGACTAGAACTATCAATTGTGTGATAGTTGAATATTGGGCTAATGGACTTCTTATTAGAGGGGTGGACGAAATCTATGGGGAAACCCATTAGAAATCGTCCAAGGCCTCTAAAGGAGGAGTCCATGGGTTGCTTAGGGGCCTAAGCAGTCAAATTAGGGTTTCCTTGTTAGATAACCCTAATAGCCTCACTATTTAAGCACCCCTAGGGCACCAAAAACGTGGCTAACTGATTCCTTAGGGTTTCTAGACGTTTTTGAGTGCCTCTCTTCTTCTCCTTCTTCATCCTCTTGCTCTTGGTGTTTGTGAGCCATTAGAGGAGTGACATTTGTGACTCTAAGCTTTCAGAAGTCAATTACAAGAAGGAATAGATTGTTATTGCTACATAACAATCAAGGTAAGATCTAAACCCTATTCTTATGTTAATATTGATTATCACATGCTAGATCTAGGGTTTATGGCTTTGGATGATTATTGCATGTTCATTAGAAAAACTAGATCTAAAGCTTTAGGGTTTGCATGTACACCATAGGAATGTTGTAGTGCTCATAACCCATCATCAGCTGCATAAGAATTCCCTGCTATCTCCCCCTAACTAGCTCGTGAATACTATTTCATATCACTAAGACTAGATAATTCTTCAAATGAGAGATCCTACCCTACAACGGTTGGACTCAAACAAGAGCTACGCAATAGAGCCAGACCTAACCTTCTGAAATTATTTAGTCCTCACAATATGTAACTTAACATATTCATTTACTAGTTAGTAAAAGATAACTAGAACTCCTAAAAGCACAAAAGCAAGCAGCATTCAAGCATCGAGTAAACATAATCAAACATATCTCATTCAGACCATCACTAACTAATCTGTACTAGCATGCGGTTCATAAAGCTGAGATACATATAACAGGCACATAAGGCATCCTTCTTAGATCCTTAGTCCTAATCTAGCATGCAATTCTCATAAAGCTGATACACATATGATAGGCACATAAGGCATCCTTCCTAGATCTTTAGTCCTAATCTAGCATGCAGTTCTCATAAACATATCATAACATAAACTTGTATGGGTAATTTGGGAGTACTTACTTGAGCTCGGCTGATTGCATGCACCACACCCTTTTCTCTTTTCAAAATGTTTTTCTCTTTTCAAATCTCTTTTTATAAAAATTATTTTCTTTAGAAAAATTCTCATACTAACTCCTTAGTTTGAGTTCAGACACACCCGAGAGCGTATCCGAATCCCTCAAACCAAGGCTTTGATACCAACTTGAAACATCCCAAAAATACGGTCCAAAAATTTCGTTTTAATTATTAATAAAACCATAGTTATCCAAAAAACATGTCATAAAATCTCAAACATCATATCAATGTATATCAAAATATCAGAGTATAAACATCCCAAGCTGAACAAATGGTGTGTGCACTGCAGTCATCCCGAGCTCTTCCCTTTGCTACCAGAAGTACCTGAAACCAAAACTGAAAAAATGTAAGCACGGAGCTTAATGAGTCTCCCCAAACTACCACATACCATACACATAACATGAAACTAGGAGATACGGGCCCCGCCCACTCTCATGGAGATTGGGGCCCCGCCCACACTCTGTTGTCTAGGAGATTCGGGCCCCGCCCACACTCCGTTGTCTAACATGCATACAAGTATCACACAGACAACAAGTATATCTATTCCTATCAAGCAGTCACATATCTATACTCAAATAATGCTACGAGATTCGGGCCCCGCCCACACTCGGCTACTATGAGATTCGGGCCCCGCCCACACTCGGCTACTATGAGATTCCGGCCCCACCCACACTCCGCTACTAACGTATCACATATACAGGTCAACCTTGGTGTCGTAGACCCGTTCTTACTGAAGGAAACTCACCCCGTATTCTAGCTGTGAAATCTCGTGTGAGGAATCTCTGACTGCTGCTCCGACGACTCCCCGACTATCAATTTCATAATAACACTTAATCAAAATCTGATAATCCTTCTTAGGGTAAAATGACTATTTTACCCCTGGTCAAAGTCAAAGTCATGGTCAACTCCCATCCGCCCCAACTCGTCGAGTTACCTCCTAACTCGACGAGTTCCTATACTATTCAGACTCATAGCCAACCGAGTCAACTCGTCGAGTCCCTTCACAGACTCGTCAAGTTCCATTTGGTATAGAATCAGGACAACTCAACTTCAACTCGTCGAGTCCCTTTCTGGACTCGCCGAGTTCCTTTGTCTGTTTGGGGTATCTTAATGGATTAAGCCCCTACACTTCAGATCCAAGCCTCATACTTCACATAAACCCTAAAAATGTCCTTTTAAGGGTAACGTTTCTGACTTTACCCATTAATACCTCTTCTTAAAGGGTTTAGCTCAAACCCTAATTCCTTGGGACTTAGAACTTGGTCCTTAAGCCATCCATACACCAAACTAAAGCTTACAACCTCAGATCTAAACCCCTAACACTACTTGGACACGTAAAGTTCCCACCTTTCCCACATGCATGGCCTTTTGGGGCTAAAAAGGCAAATATGACACTCTATGGCTTGCATGGGGGCTCCAATGGCATAAAGTTTGCATCTTTATGTCATATCAGCCCCTCTAGGTCCTAGATCTGGAAGAATATACCCACTTGGGTCGATCATTCTCCAAAAGCTATCATTCTTGGACCAAAAACCCACATAAAGAGGACATAAAGAGATCTAATTAACTAATAGTCATGATAGAAACTTGATTACCAGAAAATGTAGCAAATGGAGTGTAGTTTCTGGATCTACTCTTTCCCTGTTGAGCCCGTTATCTTCTTCTTCTTCTTCCACAAGCTTCAAAAGCACACAAATATCTCTCAAAATGGCTCACACTCTCAAAGAAAGCTCTAGGGTTTCATGGATTAGGGTTTAGGACAAGGAGGCTAGAAATTAGGTCAAGGGGTGGGGGTTAAGGAGCTTAAATAGGGTGCAAAACCCCGAAATTAGGGTTTCATTCTGGCCGATCTACTCGTCGAGTCGAGGGCTCTTGACTCGTCGAGTGGATAGCTTAAACCCCGCGCATATTCTGCCCTTTACTCGACGAGTTAGGGCCACCAACTCGTCGAGTTACACTTCCAAAATAAATAAATTAAAGAGTTAAAAGCATACCAGGACCAGATGTTACATTTACTAATCATAGTACTTAGAATACTCATATATAAAATCCTATTTATCAAAATTTATACTAGAAGCTAATTAATGAACAAAATACCTGGAATAACTCTTGTATCATCTTCATCAGAATCATCTATTTCAACTGGAGATGATTTTTGTAAGAGATTCATAATCAGATGTACTCGAGCTCTGATTTGTGGTAGAATGAAGTTGCGATTTCCAGAGTATGAATCGGTATTAGCTTCTTAAGCTTTTTTCTAGGATTTTAATCGGGTGATTTGAGAAATTTCTAGGGTATTAATCGAGAAAGATTGGGAAGGAACTTTTTATCAGAGTCAAAGGTAACCATAAATAAGGTTTTAATCTTAATCGATGAGATTTCTTAGAATCAAATGCGTATCAGACTGATGAAAGATATTAATCGACAGATTTCATGGCGACGGAATTTCTAGGGTTTAAAATCATTTAACAAAGAAATATGTAAAATGGATACAATTTGTTTCAGTACCGGATGACTAAAAGAAATTGACGAGATTAGCCCCCCGCATCCTTATAATAATCTTAAACTTTGAACTAATTTCAAATTTGTCACCGCCTTCCATCAGTTTTTTTGGTTTTAATCTCAACCTTAAATTATTTATGTTGAATGGTTCAAATTTTGTCCTCTTGTCTCACAAAATTTAATTGTCTCACATGAACCTAACCATATATATATATATATATATATATATATATATATATATATATATATATATATATATATAAAAGACTTGTGAGCGAATTTGAAGACAAAAATCGTAATCATATGATTATAGGAATACTAACGATTATTAAATTTTTGTATTACAATTATTAAGTTTTACCTATAAATTTTCTTTTTCTTTTTTATTCCTTATCTTTTTATTTATAACTTTCTTCTTTTCCTACCCACACGTCCACCTAAAAAGAAACTCTCTCTCTCTCTCTCTCTAAGTGTCGTTTTCTCACATATACTTCACATGAAAGATACTACCATTCGAGTCTTACCTTGTCATCTCTCTCTTTCGTTCAATTTTAAAACAGTGAAATCCCATTTAAAAAATCTTGAGTTCAACAACATAAAGCTTCCATCATCATATATTGTTCATATCCTTCACAAACATAGGCATCAGTGATTCACTTATATTCTCCTTTTTCCATCATAAACTACCATTCCCAAGCTTTATAACCTAAAACAAACAACCAAGAACACGAGAGAGAGTGTGTGTGTGTGTGTGTGTGAGAGAGAGAGAGAGAGAGATCTGAAGGTGTAATGGAGCTATTTCCAGCACAACCAGACTTATCTCTCCAGATTAGCCTTCCCAACACTAAACCCACTTCAACAACTTGGACAGCATCAACAACTAAACAAGATCATCATGATTTGGATTTAGGGAATTTCTGGAAGAGTACTTTGAACTCACAACAACAGTACCATACAAGATCTGAACCCTCTTCCGGGCTTAACTTACCCCATCCAACACATTCCACCAATCCAGACATTAACCATCTTCACCACCTCCTCTCCCACCAAAATATCAACAGAACAAATCTCACCGATCAAAACCATCATCTGGGGTTCAGATCAGAGCTAGGGTTCTTGAGACCCATAAAAGGGGTTCCTATTTATTACCATAACACCAATCTTCCTAAGATCACAGTACTATCTCATAATCAACATCAGCCTTTTCTAGATTCTTTTTGCACCAGTAGTACTGCGCCTACTAGTAATACACCTTCTCTAATTCATCCCAATAATATTGCCCAGTCAAGATTCTTGTCTACGAGGATTTCCTCCAAACGAAGCATGAGAGCTCCGAGGATGCGGTGGACCACAACCCTTCATGCTCGGTTTGTCCATGCTGTTGAGCTCTTGGGTGGCCATGAAAGTATGTTAGACTTTTCTTTAATTTAATTCATCCATGTCAATTACAACTTCTTCCCTCCAACTTTATCTTTTGCATTTCATTCACTGATAAAAATGATCTTCTAATGAATATAGGAGCAACACCCAAGTCAGTCCTTGAGCTAATGGATGTGAAAGATCTCACATTAGCACATGTTAAATCTCACTTGCAGGTAACCCAATCTTATGATCATTTTTCCAATAAAATAAAAATAAAGAATTAAGCACGTCTTATTATTATTCGGAAATGAGAAAATTTGTTTGTAGTAGGTTTAAGTTGCGCAAGAATCTTGAAATTTATTAACTTTTAGTGCAGTGTATGAATATATAATACGCTTATACACGTAATTTTTGGCTTATAATTAAACAACAAAAACCATTTTTTTTTGTTTTAAATTAACAGCGAAAACCATGCTCATGTTTCGTTTTATTTTTGGCTTATAAACAACAAAAAGAAAAAATATTTTGCCTAGTTAAATAGAAGAAAACCATGCTTTTTGTTTTGAACAACGAAAACCATGCTTTTATTTTGAACAACGAAAACCATGCTGTATCCTATAATTAAATTAAAACTTTCAAATTCCGATGCTTGTTTACTTGAGACAGGTATGTCTAATCTTCGGCACTTGTTTTTCTCCTGCTACTGCTACTGCACCTGACACTTCTTCATAGCTATAAATTTTACAATCAACTTTTTCCTGACAATTGAAGTAATAAAACATTTTTTTTGTTTTATCTCTTATTATTTTAATTTATACACGTACATTGTACATAATTCCCTGTTATAAATATCAATTACAGTAAATTACCTCTATAATTTTTTATAAATACAAATTAGTTAAGTTCCGTGAGATATATCCTACGAATATAACACGTTTTCATACATGTCAATTATGTATTTGTTTTTCATACATGTGTGTGTCTCAATAATTAAGAGAAAAAAGTATTTGCGTGGTAAACCTATATGGGATTTAATTCTGTGGGGCCTACATGTTGTCGTGTATGAGAATACATGTCTCTTCCTTTCGTAAACAATATGGTAAAGACCTCGACTTTTATTGACGGTTTATTATTAGCAGCATAACTTATGTTGAAAATTGCTAAAAGAAGAAACATCTCTAAATAGCACACGAAACCTCGTCTCATAAACTTACATATAAATATATGTCACTAGACATTAATTTCTTGAATATTTTGAGTTAAATTTCCCCCATACTCAAAAAAGTCTAATGTCCTTACAATGGGTTCTCCCAAAACATAAAAATATGTTTTGCTAATTTTTTTATTTCTTCGTTTATAATCATTACCTGAAGTAGGTAATCTTAATTTGTTTTTCTTAGAGACTTGTTTGTAAAAAAAATTACTTATTATTAAAATATATGTATATAATAAAAAATCAAAAACAAAGCATCGAATAAATTTAATATAAAATGGATGTACGAGAGTAGCATTCATAAGAAGACAACAAAGACCAAGGAATTGAAATCACTGACACAGAACCCAAGCTGATACAAGATTACACGCAGTCTAGTTTTTCTTTTTAAATATTTGTAGTTGAAGCCAATGATAATATTATAATATTCTCCTTTTCCTGAACTTAATATTGAAAAAAGTACAGAAAACGCCATCATTTATCAATGATATGCATATGTATGTGTAGCATCACATGTGATTTCACAACCATAGTTAACCATTACGAACTATGGTCTATCATTTAGCCAGATCACTTTCACTTGTATGGGCATGCACCATAAATACGTTCAGTCATAATGCATGGTCACATTCACCAACATATAGTATGTGGTCATTTACTCATGCTTTGTACCTAAACTTGCTTTTTCCCAAAGAAAAAGGAAAGAGAAAGATTTAAATTTATAATGTTTGACGTGTTATTATTCAACACGTAACATTAAATATCATCGAATTAAATTTATTTTCAATCTTATGTATATGACGAATACAATTATTTATCAATGATTGATTACTTGAGTAGTTTTACACTTGATTTGTGGATCATTTTAATATGAAAAGAGAACCATTAAAATGAAATAATGATCTAAGTGATTACGTCCTCTTGTTTTGCAGATGTATAGAACCATTAAAACAACTGACAAAGCACCAGCTTCTTCGGGTTAATCACTTTCTTTGACTTATATATACTTTAATTTGTAATTTTAAAACTATAATTAATTAAGGTGTATCACATTTACTAAATTCGAAATGGTGGTCTGTATATCTAACTAGGCCAATCGGATTATCTTGAACACGGATTATCGGGGGATACTTCCGATGATATATTGCTAGAAATTCAAAACTTAAAGAGAACAAACTCATCAGCTGAACGTAAAGGAAGATCTATGGTTCATCCAGAAGAAGATTATCAGTGTGGACTTTGGAGCAATTCTTCAAGGTTAGCAGTGAACTTTTCATTTTCTGCACTCGAACAACTGATCATTAAGAAAAATAGTAAACGAGACAACAAATCACGAAAAGCAAACGTTTCAATCGACATAAATTTCTAGAGTATGTGTCATATATATTTATTTTATGCTCATATTTTTTGGCAATCTAGATAGTGTTTGCTAACAAATTAACTAACAAACTTCATAAGAGTTATACAATTAATGGTACGTAGCTGTTGAGTGTTGACCGAGTTCAAAAGCATTTATATTTCATCATGTTTGTACTATATAAAGTATAAACGTGTCATCCTTGGTAATTTTAGAATTCCTTTTAAAACACTGTTGTCATTCAATATACATGGATAGTGCCAGTGGAAATTAGGGTTTAAACAGATTTAGCGAAACATATATATTGATCGGGTGACTCAAACATGCATGTGACTTTCTGATTTAATTAAAGGAGTAAGCTTACAGGCATAAGTATGGTATCTTTGGATTAGTCAATGATTAATTTCAACAATGCTTAATGATGAAAGAAAATCTGTTAATGGCTCACTTTATATATAAAACTAAACCAAAGATGAACATGTGACATGTCTCTTTTTCCCTTTGATTTCACGGGCTTCACAAGGTTATTCAAATTGGGATCCATGATTGTAAATTAAACTTGGTGCAAAGCTAAGACCTTTAATCATATGATGGACCCATCATGTGAGAAATTTTTAGGGTGATGAATTTGCTCTCTTTGAAACTTCCTTGTACGTTCTTTCTGTTTCCATGTGTAGAGTATATATGTATATGTGTTCCAAATTCTCTTCCAGTTTTACCCCACTTTTCATCTTGTATGTCATGGGTAATGACATTGCACATGGGTTGATTTTAACTTTATATCAACACAGTGAGATGTAACTTTCTTTATATGAGTTTGCCTTTTCTCTTCTTTCTTTCCTTCTGCATGGGCTTCCCACTGATTGGAAATATTCCCTTCTCAATGTACTGTTCTTTTTAGCAGGGAAGCTTGGCTGCATGGCAAACATAAAGATTCTCAAATAAATATACCAACGCTTAAGGTAAGATATTATATATATTATGCTCCTTTTGATTTATAGTTGAACATAGTTTTCCAATTTTTTAAGTTTAGATGAATCTCCTTTCACCACTTTTAATAGCATCCTATAATGTTATTGCTTTATTTAACAAGAATAATATCTAAAGTGGGAAAAAAAGGGTAGAAAAGATGAAGGCTTTTGAAAAACCGAGTCAAGTCATGCAAATATATTTAAGGCTCAATTATTCCTTTTGTAAGATAGGGGCATTAAAGCTAAAAGCAAAAAAAAATAATATCCTTTAAAGGCTGCAATTCATGTTCAAATCCTTAAATTAATTAGCCACTATAACCCTTATAGTGGATGAAGTGCGATCTTCATCGATTTTATGGATATGAATAGCGTTGCAAACCTTTTTTGCCATGGTTGGTTGTGTCGTAACTCCTAGTTTCTCGCCATTCTTTTTAATGATATATTTGTTCAAACAAATAGACTAAAATAGGAATTAACACAAAATATATAGATTGATAGAGTACCTATATATAACACTAGTGTCCACTAATTAGTAATGAACGTCGCCTTATAATTAAAATGGCATATTTTTTCTGATAATAAAGCAGCATACCATAAAGAATTGCTTTAATGTTGGCCATGAAAAAAACATCTTTGATCTTCACATGCTGGATTTTCGAGAGGATTTCAAGAGTAAAAGCATGCATATTTGTCTTTTGTGGATGTATACATGTTCAGATTGGATTTTGATGACCTAAATTTCTTTCAGAAGGAAATTATAAAGGGCATGATCAACTATGAGAGACTATCAGAAGCGAACTCATCACGAATTTCCCCGATGAAACCTAATCTCGAGTTCACTTTGGGAAGGCCACAGTGACATGATGCATACTGATGTTACGTGGTGGCGATGATGATGATATAATACATATCGATTGTACTATTCATTTCAAAATCATTATGATTTTGAATAGTTGCTAGCGAACAAGATTCAGGTCCCCACTGAAAATCAGAAAGAAAAAGAAAAAGGAAAGAGATGAGTAAAGTCAGAAAGCAACAAAAGGGAGGAGGTTTTGATAAGCATGTCCTTCCTATCAAATTTGTGATCATCATTTAATATATTATACCTCTTCGTTATCTATTTTCGTTATGCAAGAATATAAAGTCCAGTAATTAATCTTTTCTCTTTCTTGCATGAGAGAGAGAGAGAGAGAGAGAGAGAGAGAGAGAGAGAGAGCTTTAACTTTGTTGAAAGGATGATGAGGCGATCTTTGGTAACTGTAATGGAGCACTTTGCATAGAGAAGGAAAAGGAGAAGTATAATTTTATGAAAGGTGTAAGAGAGAGCTCTCCTTCTTTCCTAGGGAGTGCCATATGCTTTACACTAGCTAAACCAAAAAAAGTAAAGAAAAGGATAACAGCAACTTGAAAAGAGAACTAAAGAAGGTTTACATCTGCATTTTATTGTTGGAAAACCAATAACACTAGTACAAAAAGCAGTATAAAGTCATTAAAATCTGTTACACATCCGATTTTCCAACCGGAACCCTTGCAATTAAATTATATGTGATAATCGCTCAAAAAGTCTGCATTTGCAACCGGATCCGTGTAGGCTCATAAGTCCCCATTCCATGACAGCCAACCGGATCTCTTCTAGGCACATGCATGATAAGTCTCCATACATGTAGAAAGAAGCAACTTGATCTCTTTTATGCACATAATTCCAAACCAGATTTCTTTAGTGAAGTTTCTATGAATAAATTACAATCCCTGCTATGAAACTGGGTTCATGGAGTTAATTAACTTTTGTTTAAATATTTTATGTATGGAAATTATATTCCTCGCAGCAACGTAGTTATAATTGTTACCCCTATAATAGTAACCTACATAATAAAAAAAGTGAAAAGACTCCGTTTTCATTGAGTGCATCCACAATAGAGAGTTCACGGAAAGAGTTGAATGAGGTGGCAAGCATAGTTATCATTTATTGATGAAATTCTACCATTATGAGATGACATTCAATGGATTTGGAGTTCAATGACCCATTAAACCTTCAATGGGGAAAAAGAAAGTATTTAATTCTTAAATAACTATTTGCATATATTTCATTGAACTTTGTAGAGCTAAACTCATTGTACAAAAAAATGATAGAGTTGTATAAAATATAGAGTGATGATGTATCATGGAGTTCATTGCATTGTGGATAATGCATTGATAGAGTTGTATAGAATTTAGAAAATAAATGGAAATGATTCTCCATTCTTATGTTAGAAAATAATGAGATGTGTGACTCTAGCAGACTAAAGTCTAGAGCAATCAACTGTATTTATAGAATGTTGTTTTCTACAAACCCACCAAGGAAAAAAAGTGTTTGTTTCCCGGAGTGTTAAGCAATTTGAGAGAGAGAGAGAGAGAGAGAGAGAGAGAGAGAGAGAGAGAGAGAGAGAGAGAGAGAGAGAGAGAGAGAGAGAGAGAGAGAGAGAGATTCTATTACAACAAGCAAGTGGAAACAATGTAGATTGTAGAGATAGTGAGAACGACTAGATACAAATCATTATATAGTCTGGGCATAAGCACTTGGTTGCATTTGTAGTCTTAATGGAATTCCCCAACTAACAAAGAAATGTATTTCTTCCGTTTATTTGAAGAATCTGAACTTCGTTGCATTTGTCATATATGTGTAGTTGTCCATCAGGCATGACAATTGGACTTCAAAACACATTCTTGCAATGGTTATCTAAGCTAATGAAGACGTATATATGGTACACCTGAACATAATTTTGAGTCCTAAGTATCCCAATAGAATCCACATTTTCATTAAAGCGAGAATTTACAATCTCTAGAATGTATGTTGGAAAAAAATCGTATGTCAATCTGGCTTCGAACAAATGACATATGCATGTTTTAAAATTTTCATAAAATACAAAATATAAAAAAATGGTTGAATATTATGCATTTTAAAATTTCGGTCCAAACTACTTTGTATCCGAAATCGGTTGGACCGAATCAGTAAAAAAGCGGACAGGATTTGGACGATACTAAGAACCGACAACAAGACCTCTTCTCGTAAACCAATACCAGTTCGGTGATGGTCCAGGTACGGTTCCCGGTCCGACGGTTCAAAGATTGTGTGATGATGCAAAATAAAAAATGAAGCAAAAAAAATTAATTGATAGTGTCATTTGGTATGATAGTTTATTTTCTATTAATATGGTTTGTAAAAAGTTCCAAACAAAATCTATGAGTATTGATGTTACTATTAATCAACTAAAAGTGTAATAACAATCTCAATATAGAAACAAAGGATTTATCTTTTAGCATAGATAATGTTAAAGTCGTTACATTTGATTTTAAAGTCGTTGCATATGATATGAATGTTGATCATACTTTTCCAATAAGACATTGAATTATTAGATTTTTTTTCTTTGATGAAACTAATAATGAAGATGTATAATTGCATTCGCCTGAAAAATGTTTTAGAATTGAATATTTTATTGTTGTTGTCTATATGACAATTGATTCATTAAATTTTTTATCGGGATTCAAAATGTTACAAATTACTTTGTCAAATGTGTTTACGTCTTCATTTGAAATCTTAGAGTTTGTTAAAAAAAAAGAAGATTGTTATCCAAATGGTTTCATTGCATATCGAATCTTATTAACTATACATGTTATTGTAGCATCGACGGAAAGAAATTTTTCAAAGTTAAAGTTATTAAAAAACTACTTGAGATTATCAATGTCACAAGAAATACCAAATGTTTTGGTTATGTTATGCATCGAGAAAGATATGTTGGACAATATTTACATTGATACTATTATTAATTATTTTGCTTCTAAAAAATATTGTAAATATAATTATTATTTTTTTAGTTATGTTTGGTTGTTAGGTTGTTTTGCTCGTAGAGTCTGTTTCATGGGTTGTTAAGGGTACCAAATTTTTTATTTTGACCGAAGTCTCAAATCAATTTAGACTGGCCCTTTATGTATGTTTTTGAATTAAACCGCAAGTCAGTATCATGGAAAATGTCAGTGTTGCTGGAGGTGAGGGTGTTTGTCCATCGATAATAGTAATAACAGTTATATACAAGCAATCGGCATCATCGAAAATGTGTGTAACACCTGTTTTCCAGAATGGATAAGTTGAAGACTTAATGGGGTCAAAGATATGGTTTTTGAGGAAAACCTTATGCCACGATGTGGTGCATGGATGACCACGATGTGTCATGGCATGTATAGAACACTTGTCCTAATGGACACCACAATGTGGCAAGAGGGATGTCACGACGTGGTGGGTGCTGCAGCCAAACCCATGATTTTTAGGGTTTTCCACATATTTAAGCACCTTAATTCTTGGACTAGGTCATCTCCTTCAGCCTCCATCTCTCCATTTTGAAACCCTAGCCTCATTTCCATGATTATGAGCTTGATGGCTTGATTTTGAGGTTGTCTTCTTGATTCGGTGAAGCTTGTGAAGGAAAGAACTTCTTATTGGTGCAAGGAAGCAAATAGCAAGTCTAGATCCATCATATTCTTCAAGTTTCGGGGCCTTTAGAGGTACAAAGCTTGCATCTTGACCTTGTTCTTTTGATATTCATGTTTATGATCCTTGTTGGTTGGTTTTAGTCCCATTCATGGATGCTCTTGGAGTTTGAGGAACTCTAGAGCTTGATATGGCATTCTTATGGTCTTGGGCTTCTGTTAAGTTAGAAAAAGGTCTTGGTTTGAATGATCTTGTGTCCATAAGCAAGTTGTGGTCATATTAAGGACTTAATGGACTTAGGGTTGTAGATCTTACTTTAGGGGTGAGGTCTTATTGGATAAATTTGGAAACTTTACCCATTAAGTCATTGAGAAGGACTAGATCTGAAGTTTTAGGCTTAGATTTGTAAAGATTAAGCTCTTAATAAAGAAATGAGAGTTCTACCAGCAACCATGACGTAGCCAAGGAGGGCCCACCACGTAGTGGAATGTCGATTCGTGATTGTGTCGTCCTGACATTCTTACGACTTTGCTAAGGAGGGCCCACGACGTGGCGATGTCCTGCATGTCATATATTTTCTCCTGTCATACCCACGACGTGGCCAAGAGGTCTCCACGTCGTGGTGGCTATTGACTTGGTTGATCGTTGACTTTTGTTTTCCGTTGACCGTTGACTTTTGATCAGTTTGATATGGGGTCAAACTTGGAGGATTTAGATTGTTGATTGAGGATTCATCTCTTTTGGTATTAGTCGGTTCGCGGGATTGAGCAGTGCAAGGCGTGAGAGTGTTGTTGTGCATCTCTGGTTCTTCAGTTCATGTGAGTTTCTCACTATGTCATGTATCCCAATATATATCCTTTGCATGGTAGGATAGAAGTATTGTTAGAGAGCATGTATGCTAGTTCACTTGGTTAACTTCTTATTATGATTGTACGGTATAGGACACTTGGTGTCTTGGTATGCTAGACTGACAGAGTCTTGTCTGAGGATTGTAACATCCATAAAATTCATAAAAATTTCAAACTTTTTAGACAATCCAAAAACCATTCATTGTTTACAAATTGTTTCTTAAATAGTTTAACATCAGAGAAATCCCAGAAATCATAACACAAAATGTGAGGAAGTGCACGATCAAGCATTCGCCTTTCAGCGATCATCCGAAGTACCTGAAACATAATCCAAAACTGTAAGCCCAAAGCTTAGTTAGTTCCCCCAAAATACCGATACATAACAAATAGCACATATATAATAACAACAACATAATATGGGTCCAATCAACCATCAGGCTGGAATACCCCAGGCCCCTCAACCATCGGGTTGGAATGTCAACATACTATGGGTCCAATCAACCATCGGGTTGGAATACCCCAAGCCCCTCAACCATCAGGTTGGAATGCCAACATACTATGGCTCCAATCAACAACCGGGTTGGAATTCCAACATATTATGGGTCCAATCAACCACCGGGTTGGAATACCCCAGACCCTCAACCATCAGGTTGGAATGCCCTGGCCTGTTGGCTTACGCACAAAGCAGTGAAGCCTCAACCACCAATCAAATATGTGCACATATATCAGATAATCACATAGCAGCATACAGACAGTCAAACGGATCCAACAGACCACTATACCTAGCATCATCCTATCCACCCAGGATATCGATCTAACAGATCATAACAGCATAGCAA